TATATTGTTTTATTTGCTTGCTTGCTTTGTTGATGTACTATTGTATTTGCATTTGACGAGCTTGGCCTTATGTAAGCCACCCCGAGTCCCTTCAGGGAGATGGTGGCAGGGTATAAATAAAGTACTATTATTCTACAAGGATCTAAATGTGTATATTAGGCCTGGTTGATCAAGAAAAAATTTGTTTCTAAAATCGATTTGTAATTGGGGTGTTTTTTTGTTTCGATATTTAAAATAATTACAAAACTTTCCCAAAAAAAGTTTCGGTATTTACGAAATTTCGTAAATATTTACAAAACATTTTGTAAAGATGGCGGACCCCCGCGCATGCGCAAAAACACTTCCGAAGCTTCGTTATTTCTGAGGATGCCTGCCATAAGATGTGAGCAAAACGTCAGGAGAGAATGCTCCTGGAACATGGCCAGACAGTTCGGAAAACTCACAGCAACCCAATGTGTGTAAAGCTTTGGTTGATGTCTTTTAATATAGGCCTTTGATTGCTTGTAATTATGTGTTTTAGCTCTGTTGCACCCCACCCTGAGCAGAGAGGCAGAAAAGAACAGGAATATACGGTCAGAAGGATGTTGGGATGGGAGGAGAGATCTAAAAACTGCAGTGAAAAGGAAGGAAGGAAGGAAGGAAGGAAGGGAGGGAGGGAGGGAGGGAGAATCTGGAAAAGGGAGGAAGAGAGAGGAGGGAATGCAGGAAGGGGCCAGCGGCTGCAGGAAACTCCCTAACTTGGCCCTCCTGCCTCAGGAAAGTTTGACTAGCTGCCAGCCCAGCCTGAGAGAGACAGAAGCAGCAGCGCCACTGGATGGGTTGAGCTGAGGAGGAGGAAAAAAAGACCCCAACCACCAAGCGTGCGCCTGTGTGTGCGCGCGCGGGTAGAGACTCCCTTCACCAAAAGTGGCCATGTCAAAGGCGCAGCCGGGTGATTGGCAGGCGAGGGGCAGGGCCGGAGGATCCTTTCTCCCGCGACGCGCTCCTGCCTTAAAGAGACAGCACACTTTTTTCCCTCTCTCCCTCTCTTTCGACTGTTTGGAGGAGCGAGCAAGCAAGCAACCAGCCAGGGGCGTGCTCTTCGGGATTTGGCGCTATGTGGCCGCGTGTCATTGAAAATGCCTATGCGTGTCAGTGCTGACACGCGTGTCATAGGTTCGCCATCACGGCTCTTAGTATAAACTACCGTGGAAGGGCATGAGCTCGCTTGTTGTTCCCCCGATTTGGGTCCGGTGCCGAACATTAATTTCGTGTGAGCTGGCCTGCGACCTTTAGCATCGACGCCCCCACCGGTCATATGTGGATCGGTGGCTTTTGCTCACTGGGTTGCAGCCTATGCAGCTTGCGCACCGAATGGATAAAATTGATAAAACTCTGGATGAGATATGCAGAGTGTGCAATGGCTTAGCAATGGCTCCTTTTCATCCTGGGTAGAAGTGACCTGTGGGGTGCTTCAGGGTTCTGTTCTATACCCCATGCTTTTCTTTTCTTTCTTTTTTTTATCAATTTATTTCAGTTATGGAACATAACAGAACAACAAATCATAGCATATATAGTCAGGTAACAATATTTTTGATGTATACATGCCTATCTATCTTAGTCAATCCACCAGTTAATTCTGACACTGAGTACATATTATTACCAGTTACTTAATTTAAAACATATAGACTTGCAATTTCGACATGTTATCCACTATTTTCGGTCTAAGCTTTCTACTCAATTATTTCCATAACATTCAGATACCAACACATGACGTAGCACCCACGACAGACCATACACACACCCAAAACCCTAAACAACACACAAAATAAAACCTCTTCCCCACATCCGTGCACCCTTCACCATGACTTCCAACACTGAAGCACTATGAAGCCTTTAAGCCCATTTATCCATCCTTGTCCATAGTAAACCTAAATTCCTAATGGAGCTCCTCTATGTTACTGACTCTCTATTCAGATATGTCATGGCCAACTTCCATTTTTCTAAAAAGTCCTCATTACTTTTGTTCTTCCTATTATTGGTTAATTTAGCCATTAGCCATTAGCATCAAGATGGTACAAAATGCAGCTGCTCGGCTTCTTGAGGGAATTCCGATGAGATGCCACATAACACCAATCTTACTACAGGTGCACTGGTTACCAACTGAGCACCGGATCACTTTCAAAGTGATGGTACTCACCTTTAAGGCCTTGCATGGTCTGGGGCCGATGTATCTGAGGGACCGCCTCACCCCCTACCAACCCCAGAGATCCCTCCATTCTGAGGACCAAGATCTATTGGAAGTCCCCAGTGTCAAGACCTTGCGTCTAACAGCAACCAGACGCAGAGCCTTCACAGCAGTGGCACCATCACTCTGGAATACTCTGCCACCTGAAGTCCGTGCCTTGCGGGACTTATCAGCTTTCCGCAGGGCATGTAAGACATACCTGTTTCGACAGGCCTTTAATGTTTGATATTGCTGTTTTTAAATTGTTTTAAATTGCTTTTAATTGTGAGAGGAAAAGCAGGCCGGGCTGGTAAGCCGCTGCCGGCCCCGGAGAGGGGGGGAAGTAAGGGGGAAGAGAGAAGATATATTCTATAGTACCCACAGATGGCCCGGGCCAGCCGGGGGGGGAACCCCTGGCCGAGGGGATGGAAGGAGGCTATGGTCAATCGGAGAGGGCGTGGGCGGGGGAATGAGGGATGGCGGCGAGGGAATACCGGAGCTAGATCAAATTGCCGGGGCGGGGAAAAGCAGAATGAGGGAACATGGTATATGGACTCCGTAGTGCCTGAGCCCAAAATGCCGGAATGAGCGACGTGCACCACATATGGAGGAGGGTCCCGGCGGGTTTCCGGCACCGCAAGCAAAGACTTTACATAACATCTTTATTAATGACTTGGATGAAGCTTTAGAGGACATGCTTTTCAAGTTTGTGGATGATACCTAATTGGGAGGGATCGCTAAGACAGGATCAGAATTCAAAATGACCGTAACAGATTAGAGAGCTGGGTCAAAACTTATGAACTGAATTTCAACAGGGAAAAATGGAAGGTACAACACTTAAGCAGAAACAAATGATATATATATATATATAGGATAGGTAACACTTAGCTTGACAACAGCATATAGAAAAGGCACCTAGCCACTTTGTAGACTGCAGACTCACTATGAGCCAACAGTAATGCAGCAGCTAGTAAACCCAACCTTAATCTTAACTGTATGAATAGGAGTAGAGTGTCATGAGAAAGGAAAATAATAATCAAACTCTATTATACTTTAATCACATTTCACCTGGAATATTCAAGAATATTGACAATCTGAAATGTGTCCAGAGAAGGACGACCAAAATGCCAAAAGGCCTGGAAGCCAAGCTCTGTGAAGAGTGGATTATTGAGCACAATATGTTTAGCCTTGAAAATAGAAGGTGAAGCAGTTACATATAGATGTATTTAAAAATTGAGATGGTGCTAACAATCATTATAGTCACAATAAGTATTTACATGGTTCATTAAAGAGGGTTACAGAGTCATAGAGTTAGAAAGAGCCCCATGGGTCATCAATTCCTACCTATTGTTCAATGCAGGATCTCCAGATAGCAATATGCTGCCCCATCTCTTTTTAAAGAAGCCCAGAGAAAGGAATGCCACCATTAAAGTCAATTACTTCTATTTTCAAGCTGCTCTGGCTATCTAGAAGTTCATTCTAATGTTCAGTTGAAATTTGCAGATCTGTAACTCCAGATCATTACACCTAGTGCGATCCTGTGGGGCAGCTACCATCCTCTCTATGAGAATCCTTGAGGTATTTAAAGGAGGCAGTCTTCTCTTCACCAGGCTGAACATACCCAGATCCTTCATCCTTTGCTCACATGCTTTGTCATCCAGCAATCTTCTCGTCCTAATTGCCCTTAAAATGACGTAGTACCCAGAAAGTTGGTGGGATCACAAAATTGGCTGCTAAAGAAATGTCATTGAAGGCTACCTATCTAGATAAGATAGATCTTGAAAGTGAGACAACTCTAGGGCTTTCATAAATAAAAAGGGTCAACTGGGTCCATTCTGCAAAGTGTTCAGGTATGATCGTGGAAGAGAAATAACCTTGGCCACTCAGGTTAAAGAACTACACCAGGTAACTGGACAATGAGAACTACATCGCTGTTAGTACTGCTGAAACTCTCAGCAACATTCAGTACTTTTGATCATTGTATCTTCCAGTGTTGCTTAATTGGCATGGAAATCTCAGACATTTTTCTCACTGGCTTTCGTGACTGGAATCACTGGGTTGTTGTTGGTTTTTCAGGCCATATGGCCATGTTCTAGAAGCATTCTCTCCTGAGATACAAGTGAAACGTCAGGAGAGAATGATTCTAGAACATGGCCATATAGCCCGAAAAACCTATAACAACCCAATCTCAGACATTTTTTCTCATTGGCTTTAGATATTTTTGGCTGAAGGTCCCTAGAAATAGAGATGCTTTACATGAATGAAGTACATATTGAGTATTAGTACTAAATCAGTGTTCCTCAATTTTCCTAATGCTGTGATCCCTTAATACAATTCCTCATGTTGTGGTGACCCCCAACCATAACATTATTTTGTTGCTATTTCATAACTGTAATTTCGCTACTGTTATGAATCATAATGCAAATATCTGATCTGCAGGATGTATTTTCATTCGTTGGACCAACTTGGGAACAAATACCCGATACACCCAAATTTGAATTCTGGTGGGGTTGGGGTGGGGATTGATTTTGTCATTTGGGAGTTGTAGATGCTGGGATTTAAAGTTAACCTACAATCAAAGAACATTCTGAACCAACGATTGCATTGGGCCCTCATGACCAATAGATAATGTTGGGTTTTCTAATGGTCTTAGCAAACCCTTCTGATGCCCCTCATGACCCCCACAGGGGTCCCGACCCCAGGTTGAAAAATGCTATACTAAATGATATTATTGGAATGATCTGTACCTAATATATAAATAGCCCCTGAAATACAATCTTTTCTGATTTTTCAGATATGGATGACTGTTTCAGATGCCCAGAAGATCACTATCCAAGCAATGACAGAGACACATGTATCCCCAAAAATATTAGTTTCTTGTCTTATAAAGATCCCTTAGGGATCGGTTTATCTGCAGTCACGGTTTCTTTTGTCCTCATCACAGCATTAGTACTACAAATATTTATTAAGCACAAAGATACGCCAATAGTCAAAGCCAACAACCGGAATCTCACCTACATTCTTCTCATCTCCCTCCTGCTGTGCTTCCTCTCTCCTTTTTTGTTCCTTGGCCAACCAGAAGAAGTACCCTGCCTTCTCAGGCAAACAACTTTTGCCATCCTCTTCTCAGTGGCTGTGTCATGCGTGTTGGCAAAAACCATGATTGTTTCTTTGGCATTCCTAGCCACAAAGCCTGGATCTTGGATGAACAATTGGGCAGGAAGAAGATTGCCTTATTCCATTGCCGTTACTTGTTGCCTTATTCAAGCAAGCATTTGTATAGCATGGCTGGCAACCTCCCCTCCATTCCCTGATTTGGACATGCACTCTGGAAATAAGGAAATCATCCTGCAGTGCAACGAAGGGTCTGTCACCATGTTTTACTGTGTCTTGAGCTACATGGGCTTCTTGGCTCTTGCCAGCTTCACTGTAGCATTCCTGGTTCGCAAGTTACCTGATAGTTTTAATGAAGCTAAGTTTATTACATTCAGCATGCTGGCCTTTTGTAGTGTTTGGATTGCCTTTGTCCCCACTTACCTAAGTGCAACTGGGAAAGCCATGGTGGCTGTGGAGATCTTCAGTATCTTAACCTCTGGTGCTAGTTTACTCAGCTGTATCTTCTTCCCTAAATGCTATATCATTCTGGTGAGGTCTGACCTGAACAACAGGAAGCAACTCATAAGGAGAAAGGTTTAGGGAATGTCCATGGTATTACTTTTTATCCGGTTGGACTATGAGGAATGTCTGAAACATGTAAGAGTTTGGAATAGGTGCCGGTGGCATTTCAGATGCCTTCTGACTTTTATGTTTCTATGATATAATCACTTTCACAACTTCTGAATATTAGGTAGGCTGAGTAAATTGATGGGAGTGGCCATCCAAGAATAATTGAAAGGCTGTAGTCCATCCATCCGCCCCTCCCCGCCCCCCAAGTTCCTTTGATATTAGAATTCTCTCCTCTTGTTTGCAGAACTTTTAATCTACAATATTATTCTATGAGGAAATTTTTACTTCCATTACAGAAATTTCTTGTGGCAGGAAGAAACTGAAGAAAGGCAGTCAGGATATGATGAAGTTTGCATAACTCTGGGTGCGCTTTTAGAAAATGGTGAAAGCACAATAATATCTTGTTTTAAGCCATGATCAAAATGCATAGCAACAACTGAAGCAGTTTAACAATGTGACAAACATAAAGGCAATGCCAACATAATAAATGAAATATTACAAAGTCGAATAAAATATGCAATTAATATCATGAGCAGAGGGGAAAATGCATTGCCTTA